TGCCAATGATGGTGGCCGTGCTATTCTATGCTGGGATTATGCCAATGATGGTGGCCGTGCTATTCTATGCTGGGATTATGCCAATGATGGTGGCCGTGCTATTCTAGGCTGGGATTATGCCAATGATGGTGGCCGTGCTATTCTATGCTGGGATTATGCCAATGATGGTGGCCGTGCTATTCTATGCTGGGATTATGCCAATGATGGTGGCCGTGCTATTCTATGCTGGGATTATGCCAATGATGGTGGCCGTGCTATTCTATGCTGGGATTATGCCAATGATGGTGGCCGCGCTATTCTATGCTGCGGTCCAATCTAACGTTAGTGGTATGGTGAACTCAGTACAAACAGCCCTTGGCGGATTATGCTCGGTAAATTGCTGAATTATGCTTTCCATTACGCCCAAATCATGCCAGTGATGTGCTATATTATTCTGGGATCATGCCAGTGATTATGCTACATTATGCTGGGATTATGCCACTGATGTGCTATACTGTACCCTTGCACTCTTTTGCGGTTGCACTTTGCAACGTTACAACAACTCTGGCACCATGACAGCACGGGGTATAATATTATTGAAGGGGTAACATTCACCAGGTTATTTCCTGTAATGCCTAAAATATGCCTGGAGCCTGGAGCATTAATCTTCAGCCAGGACTTAGGCTATGGCTATACCGATCGTCTGGTCCCAGAATTGGCAGAAGTCCTTCTATGCCAGAGCATACTTTTTAGACAAAATCCTAGGATTATGAAAGTGTGTGTGTTGCTCCCTACACACACTTCCCAAACTACCGCCGAAGTCGCACCAACCTCTTCATCCTAACTAAGAATAATAAGATTATGCCAGAAATAATGCCAGCAGAATCTGCCAAGGCCTACTGTACATGTATACGACGTGTACTTGTACTTGTCATTCGCCTGACATCATGTGTCTCGTTGCGGCACAACGACTTACGTCACGACTCTGATCTTGTTTTGATCAGTAGCCGGGCGCTGCTCTGCGCTGCTCTTACCAGTTTGACAGCGCGGCACAGTCTTTGTTCATGAATCATGGCTTGCAACTCCTGAGTTTTGTTGTTTGGGCTTCGACACGACTTTCAGAGTTTAGTCTTGATCCCTCTAGTAGTAGTAGTAGTATCTGTCGTCTATTCTACTGGAGCGGAGTGTTTGCTTGAGAAGACTTTGCACAGTTGCGAGTCAATCATTTGGCCTGTCAGGAGAACGCCTGGCTATTTTTCGGTAGTCCTTGTGGACGAGGTTTAGTCTTTAGCGCAATCGGACGCTATGGAAAGACTTGCTTCCCGCTTCGCTCGAGGTGCCAATTCGGTGAGTTTTGCAGTACCATACCAGCTAGTGTAGCGTACATAACCCATTGCTTGTGCGACTGACTAGACTGTGGCCGTGTGGGTGATCACTGGTGATCGCGCGAGTGCTCGTTCTTTTCTTTGCGTAGTCCTTTTTTCATAGCTCTTTGTTGCGAAATATTTTAGTTGTGCAAGACGTCTTTATAATTACATTGTCGTTGTGATCGATGTAGCTGATTAGTCTAGCTGTTTGACGCCTCTGGAACGCGTAAACATGCATGGTGCATGTTACTGAAATAATTTTAATTCTGCACGGACTGGTACACCAACACCATACCAGTAATGCAGTACATGTACTAGTATACAAGACTAGTGCTAGTTCCGCCGCTAAACATTGATTGGCTGTGCCAGTCAGGTCGCTAGCCATTTATACGAGTGTCTATGAATGTATGATCGACCATGCACGCATCTTACTACGTTGTACATTGTACTCAGTTCCGTTGGTCTCAGTGCAAACGTACAAAACAGAAGCCATTACTAGTACCTGAGATATTACGTATCTAATATTGACTGAGTACGAGGTCAATATAGGAAATAAAAGCCGAGTAAAAGACCGAGGCGAAGCCGAGGTCTTTTACGAGGTTTTTATTTCCTATACTGACCAAGTACGAAGTCAATATTAGATTTATCACGACAAACAGTCCGTATTTCAACTTCCAGAACGATCACCTCATGAATCCCGGTTTTATGATTGCACAACCGTTGCACCACCACCTACTCATGCAGTGACAATGCTGCACTAGGCACCGTTCAACTGCGCAACCCCTAAGCAGTCAAATATAAGCAGTCAATATAGCCCTAAGGAGTGAAATATGCAGGAATATTTGACTGCTTAGGTATGGCAAAAATCTATGTGAGTCAATACTAAGGGAGTGATAATCAAGAACATCAATGCAGCCACCTGCACAGCCAACACTCCATTTAGATAGGTGAGACAGACTGCAACCTGGCATCTTCTTGGGTCAAGAATAAACTGGGGCATCCTTCACGCTATTGTTCACAGTCTAATATCATATCCACTATCCAAAGTGGGAACGAATCAAAATCTTTGACATGCACCAGTCTTTAACCAAAATAGGAGAACTAAACTGGCCATTCCAGGGATCAGTACTCACAAGTCTGATTATGTCCTTTATTCCTGATGATCAGGTGTACTGTGCAGGTACTGTGCAGGTACTATGCAGGCATTTGGAGCAGGAACGGGTACATGGGTATCGGACTTTGCAGACCCTAAACATATGTGTATGTGCGTGTGTGGGTGTGTGTGTGTGTGCGGACATGTGTGTGTGTGAGTGTGAGTGTGCACATGCATGTGTGTGTGTGTGTGTGTGTGTGTTTGTGTGCATGTTGGTGTGCATGGGTATTTCCCAGGCACTCGTGCAGCATCATGCTGGCGCCGCCAATGCAACAACTCTTCCTGGATCAGTAATGTTTGGCCGTAACATCACAGAGTGAGTTTTTCTCTGCAGCTAATATACATTGGTGTCTGAAGTCTTTCCGATTCTTTCAGCAATGCTGGATCTGATGAGTCATGCTCTGATTCACGGTGTTATGCAGCCGTACACTATCGAATATTATGCAATACATATCAGGGCATGCGCTAAGGATTAAAATATGCTCTGACACAATGTCCCGCCAGTTGCAAAAATGGCCGGACATGTCCGGACATGCAACTTTCACATCAAATCACACAATGTTCAGTGTAGAATTAATACCATCGAAATGTTATCAAGACGATGCATTTCAGAAGCAGCATGATCTTTGAAGGCTGACGTTTTCAGGTTCCTTGAGCCAACGACGAAGGAGTCAGAAAATTTCTTGCTGCTGCGAATTTTATCAACAAAACGGGAACACATCTTACACTTCAAATTTTCGACAACGCTACGATCTGAAGGACTGCGCTCATAGCTCAGCCAAACAGAAGTTGAAAGCTCCCTATCATACTCGGCGACCCACTTGTCACAAGTGGTCGTCTTGACTCCTCTGGGCTTCTTTCCAAGAGGAGCACCCGCATCAGCGGTGCTTGGCTTTCTCTTGCCAGACGACATCACTAATGACTATGAGACAAAGGATTGAAGTGCCTTTCCTTTTTTGTACTTTGCAAAAAGGTGCGCGGACACTTTGTCCGGATATGTACAAAACATCCGGAAACTGACCGTAAACGGTCGGAAATTGTCCGATGTCCGACCGTTATTTCGCGCCCTGCATGTAATGTGAAAATATACACTGTCTGGCAAGTAGTAATGTGTGTGCGTGTGTGTGTGTGTGTGTGCGTGTGTGTGTGTGCGCGTGTGTGTGTGTATGTGTGTATGTGTGTAACAGGAGTGCTAATCAGTCACATGTTGCCATGACAAACCGAGCCAGCGTCAATCCTGCGCCGAGCCACAGTATGAAGCAATGGCCGGGTGCGAAGATTCTCAACAATCCATCCATGCAGGTTAGTAGCTGGTGTGGTGTTGAAGGGCAACTATCCTCCCAACCAGCTACCTCTCACTAAACCTCCAGGGCCAGTCCATGGATTGCCAGGGCGCAGTCCCGCACTGTCTTGGTCCATACAGTCTGTGATGTCGTACCGTTTACCATATATTTCCAATCAAACACACACACCCACACACACCCACACACACACCCACACACACACACACCCACACACACACCCACACACACACACTCACAGTACACTGGGTTCAGAGAAATCATGATGGCATACTCATGATAGCATCGCTGACAGAAAAGCCTGGCAGCTATCCATGTATTTCAAGTGCAAAATAATTGGGTCGATTTTGACCCCGTTCAATTGGAGAACAGTGCATCACAAGGTCATGCAGATGCAGCTCCTACAGCGATCAGACCCACTACAAAGTGGTCAAAGACCGAAAACCGGATTGGCTGCATCCATGTCACTCTCATGCCAGGCCACAAGTTGTTACGCTTTCCAACGGCCGTAAGGGAGTTGGAAAGCACGTGTCTTTGTGCGTAGCCATGATAATCATGGTGGTTCGGTGCGAGTCTGCGCAAAGCAGACTTCGCGCCATTGCCACCCACTGGCTATGCAACTCTGTTGTTGTTTGCTGTGTTGTACGGGCGGAGCGCAAAGACCGCAATTATGTTTGGGTCACAGCATGGTTGGGAAAATCCTTCCGCATGGAAGCAGGACTTGTACCCGATACTTGTGGCCTCTGTTTCTCAGCTATGGCCCATCTAGAGTCTAGACCACCCCACTCTTTGCCTGCATTGCTATTATGCTAGATAAGGACAATGCTTTTGCTTTTCTCGTTGTGCTGGCTGAACAGTGTGCGCACTCATTCCTTTGTGTGTTCTCTGCCTTTTCACAGATTATTGCTCGTCGCTATCAACGCACTCCTCTTCAGGTATGTCAGTAGCGGCACAGTGCAGTGCAGCATAGCATGTTGTTGTGGCGATACTGCTGTCTAAAGATTGTACCAAGTGCGTAGCAATGTGCCACCGCACTGTTGTTCTGCTGCCTCAGTTTGCCAGCCCCGCCCTGCCACCATTGATGGCATCATTGGTCATTTCCCATTCGCAGCACACTGCTTTGGAATGGTTTCTCCTTTGAACGTTCCATGGTGGAGTGCTTGATGCCAATGTGCAGATTCATGGCAGACACATAGCGACACTGTGCTCTCTACATATGTGTCGACATCCCATTAGGTCCAGCTGCCTCTTCTGAGTAATGTGCGTGTGTGTGTGTGTGTGTGTGTGTGTGTGTGTGTGTGTGTGTGCACGTGTGTGACTTTTCTTTCATTCTCCTGGGTGGTTACCAACAGCCAGTGCATGCCGGAGTATGTGGTGTGATGTGTGTGTGGGAAAAAAAAAAAAAAAAAAAAAAAAGACCAAAAATAGGGATTCACTGGCCAGAAAAAGTCACTTCAAATAGCTGTATGGTGTAGACCAGGCTGAATAGTGACGGTCAATTCTTCAGCCTTGCAAGCTGTTGAATGGTGCAATCCCAGCACAAGTTGCTATGGCTTCTGCCGTAGCATTGCTATCATCGCCTCCGGCGATGGGCGTCAAAGGTCAAGGTCAAAGGTGCACGTGTGTGTATTTGGGTGGGTGTGTGTCGGCACTAGTTCACCATGGTTTACTCGGTTTGTTGTGCTATTTCAATCTTGCCGTATCTTGTGACTGATTGCTGTGTGTTGTGTGCTGTGTAGTGCTGTGTATTGTGTATCATGTGACTGTGTATTGTGTGCTGTGCTGTGCTGTGCTGTGCTGTGCTGTGCTGTGCTGTGTAGGTATGGCAGCGCTATCAAGTACAGTGTGGACTGCCAGGATCTAACACGGTAAGGGGCTGCTACAGGCACAACAGCATGAGTGTCACTAACAGCCAGTGTGCAGAGTGTCACTAACAGCCAGTGTGCAGAGGCGGGGAACACAGCGATGTGTCACTAACAGCCAGTGTGCAGAGGCGGGGAACACAGCGATGTGTGCTGCGGAGCTGGCCGTCATGCACTGGAACATCCAATGCACTGTTTAGTACTGTGCTAGGATTGAACTACCGGCTTAGGAGTTCATCCCAGGCACAGTGAAGATTGAGCCTGTGTTTTCAAACACTAGTCCCACTCTGGTCGGTTGGGCAAGAATTACTTTGGCCATAGAGCATTCCCCCCGGTTTTCGGGGTAATTCAGGATGTTCGGTCGTTTTTTTTATCAGCAACGATTTGAAGAAAACATGTACTTCGCCCTCCTGAGACGTCTGTTACTGTATGCCTACTAAGGATCATGGGATATGGAGTACATGCCCGGTCCATGCACAGTACATGCCCGGTCCATGCACAGTACATGCCCGGTCCATGCACAGTACATGCCCGGTCCATGCACAGTACATGCCCGGTCCATGCACAGTACATGCCCGGTCCATGCACAGTACATGCCCGGTCCATGCACAGTGGATGCCCAGTAGTAGACATGTGGAAGTACAAGTAGCTGGAGAGCACCATTGCTAGACAGAGCTTTTATGTGTTTGTTTGTCGATGCAGGGATCTGATGAGCATCGTAGCTCCATCAACTCGTTTGCTCTCACCCTGGAAGAAATGAATAAAGTAACGGTCGCCCAATTTCCACAGGTCCCGGCGTGATGGACCGACTGCCCACAGGTCCCGGCGTGACGGACCGACTGCACCGACTGCTCAGTAGAACATGGTTCAACTAGTTTGGAAGACAAGTTCCGGCATAAATTACACGCATGCACGCACGCATATTCCTGGTTTCTGCTAATTTTGGAAAGTGTCGATGCAATGTTGCCTAAATCTTTGTTGTTGCGATGATGACTAGTTTAAAGGTTTCTATTCAGTTTTGTTCGTCTAGGGGACTATCACGCTGTTTTGTTGACCACTAGTAGATTGAGCATGCCACTGTTGTCAGTGTTGATATTTGTCACAGTGTCAGTTTTGTTACTTGATTCCTATTGACTGTACATGTACATGTATATGTGTCAGGCTGTGCTGCAGTACAGTGTGCAGTGTGTACCGGCTCCACTACTTATCCTGTGTATCCCGTGCGTTGTACTGTGCATGCCTCGCCTGCTAGTTACAGACAGCATCACACTTGAGTTTCACTATCAAACAATTCATTAGATCAATGAGTTTATCGTTTTCTTTAACCCTCGCAAACCTTTTTAGACGACTTCAAGAGTTCATTGCATATCTACCGCTGCTGGATCAATGAGTTTATTGTTTTCTTTTTAACCTTCGCAGACCTGCAACTACGACTTCCAGAGTGACATTGCATATCTACCGCCTGCTGCTTCTTTAGGCCAAATAATGAATATGCTTCTGCATGGCTAGCCCGTGTCTGTTATTCTGTACCTCATTATGATCATAGCACAGACACACTGTAACAAGACGTGCTACTAATGTATGTGTACATGACTGCTTGGCATCGGCATACCTTGTGCTTGTCTGTTGTTGGAACTGTCCACAACAAACAGAACTGTATACGCAGTACTTGGACAGTCAATTTTTCTTCAGACTTTCCCCTTTTTGACTTCCTTTTTAGAAGCCAGCTTATGGATACGGTGTAGATCTACCACCAAAGGAGCTGATGTGCTCTTGATATCACAGGCGCGTTGGAACGACTTTGGAAGTGGGGCGGCCATGGAAGGGGGGTCGGGGGGTCCTCCCCCGGGAAAAAATTTCAAAAATTAAAGCCAATTGCAAGCATTTCCGGGCATTTGGTGCCATTTCAGTGTACGGTAACTACAATGAAAGACTTTTTGATTCTGCAAAAAACCAAGAAGATGCTACGATCGGGGACAAACATTACCCTCCCCCGGGAAAAAAATTCAAAAATTGAAGCCAATTGCAAGCATTCCCAGGCATTTGGTGCCATTTCAGTGTACATGGACTTTTGATTCTGCAACAAACCACGATCGGGGACAAGGATTTGCCACGTTTGCGCTGAGATCATCGCGCTTTGTTGCAGTGTGCTACAAAAAAAAAAAAAAAAAAAAAAAAAAAAAAAACAGCCGAAAAAGTGGGGCGGCCCCGGCCGGTGCGGTTCCGACGCCCTTGTATCACATTACCTTTTATAGAGATGATTAGTCCGTACTGGTACGGCCAAGTAATTACTTGAAACCTGCATGGTGGTAATCAGGGAGTAGTCTTCTCCCTAGCTGGTAGATCTACAGCTTACATCCCAGCTCTTCTCCCTAGCTGGTAGTGATGATGTGTACAGCTCCGAAGTGACAACGTCTACTGTGTTCAGCATGGAAAGCTGGAAGAACATGTTCGTTTCTGTTTTCTCCATTGCGTAACCTGTACCCCCCCCCCCCCCCACCTGTGCACACAGTAATTGGTAGAGAGGACGTTCAAGTTTCAACGTAAATTCTCTTTGCAAGCTAGTATAAAAATACCAAAATATACCGTGACTTTCTCTCCACGGTTAGAAACGAGCAACAACAGTAGCAAAATAAAGGCGTAAAAATGCGCAATCTCAGACAGCCAAGCAAGTGGAGGCGGTGGCAATAAAAAAATCAACAAAATAATATTTTGTTGATTTTTTTATTGATCTGGTTCTACGTGATAGATGTTAAAAAAAATCGATTCTTCAAAAAAACAGCCCGACGAGGGATCGGTACGTAATAGATGCAATATCTTTCACAAAATCTGTCTAGTACCGGTATGACAGAGGAAGACAGCAGATCTATCCTTCAAAACCTCTCCGGAATGAGTACGGTTGAAGTACATGTACCGGTACTACTAAAGCCTGTTCTACTACTAGTGCACATATTAAATATCAAAGAAAACGCTGCAATGGTGAAGTTGACATAGCATGATCGGACCAGGCGTCACGATCGCGGCAGAAAAGCAATGATAATGGCCAGTCAAAGGAAAGCAGACCAGCGTGGGCTGTAACATGACTGGCAGTGGACGCATTTCAGGGAGACGGACTTGCAGAACGCTAGGGTTGTGTGGGGACAAACTACTTCCTTTGAAGCAAACATGGCGCAGCTTCAAGACGAGAACAACGTGTGCTACATGACATCTAGAGAGCACTAGCAGCGCTGCCACTGCCTGTGTACTTGACGGTGTGTAGCTCAGTCAAAACGCAACGTACACCATCGCTGCTTACAAGGCCTCAGTGTTTTGATGAAGGAAAAATGCTCCTCCTGATCCTTAGCTCACTGCGAACAAACGACACGGACACAGACCAAGCAGAAGCAGCAGTTGAACACAATGGCTACAGATCGGCGTGTATCATAAAAACACAAAAAAGTAGTATCAAACTGAAATGCTGCAAACTGTTCTATTGGAGAGTGGTGGATTCGTCTAAGGAGAGAGAGGGAGAGAGGGAGAGAGAGAGAGAGAGAGGGAGAGAGAGAGAGAGAGAGAGAGAGAGAGAGAGAGAGAGAGAGAGAGAGAGAGAGAGACAGAGAGAGAGAGAGACACACACACAGATAGAGAGACAGAGAGAGAGAGAGAGAGAGAGAGAGCCAGATAGAGAAGACGGATCCCAGCATCAAATCTAGACATTGCACAAGAATCAGTGCTATTCAGAGGTGAACTCAGCATCAATAATGACTGGCATGCCTGCATTCTCATCCTCTTGTTACCTGTTGTTAGTCCCATCAGCAATACAATTATACCGTTATTATAGTGTCAAGCAATCGCTGGCTACACATTAACCGTATCAGGGGTGAAGTGATTGTAAATTTTCATTCAGTTATAGTACCGTATTTTCTGGAGTATAAGCCTGGTGTTCATAGTGTGGCGTTATACTCCAGAAATTGCAGAAAATACAGCAATCATTAAACGTAGCCAGCGAATATTCGATTACAATGTCAACATACAGTGTCACACCGCCATCTTTGCTGGACATAACTTTGCAAAAGGCGATACCGTGATCCCTTCCAGGTTCACAAATCAAATACATACAGCACATTACAATCATTTAGTTTGATTACCGGTAGACGTTTTCATGAAGCTTAGAAAATGATAAACATAACGAAGAAGGAAAGCTGTTGATTTTGAGGTATTATGCTATTATTTAAACGTCTCATTTTGTCTCGCCATTCCTCTACCTGCCAACTGTACCGGACTGCCCTGGCAAGGCTTGGGAATGGGAGCTTGGAAATGGGACAGGGATTGCCCAGGGCAAGCTTGGAAATGGGACAGGGATTGCCCAGGGCAAAGCTTGGAAATGGGAAAGGGAAAAACCGTCGCGCACGGAAGGGACATTTTGGGCTATTGTAGCAACACAATGTCATGACATTGTACTAGTACAGTTGCGCTCACTGAAATCCGACCTAAAGTGCAAAGCTGACGCCCTGGACCAGTTCCAATGGCATCACTGCATTTGTATATGTGTACCTCCAGTAGCATTCGTACCACTTCCAGGGCGTCAAGGGCCGTGCGAGTTGAGGGCACCAAATACGCACACTGTGTTGGATTTCACCGAGCGCACCTGTACATCACTCTACTGCTGTTCATGCATGTACCAGA